GCCGGTTTGGATTTTGTAACCCGTGCTTTACTCGCTGTTTCAGTTTTTGCAATGTGTGCTTTAATTGTTGCCCGGGTCTCCGCATCGTATTCAATCGGCAACGGAGCGATTTTGGTTATTGGTCGAGTGAAAGTGTTATTGCGCATTTTAAGTGTTACAACTCTCGTGAGTGTGTCATGACCCTTGTGCACGTCGATTACGCGTGCCATTGGCCAAGAGCATGGTGGTGAATTCTCATCTTTTACCAAAACTAATTCATTCAATTTTGGCTCTTCTTTTTTCGTAAACCATTTTGATTTGGTTTGCAATTCATTTAGATATTCCGTTTGAAATTTTTTCCAAATGTTTTGACTCATTTTTTGCACCAATTGCCAACGTGAAAGCCAGTTTACGTTCGTTTCGATGTAGCTTTCGTCGGGTGGTGCCAGTAACGGTGCCCCAATCAAGAAATGTCCAGGTGTTAGGCAATCGATGTCATCAGGGTCAGTAGATAGTGCACAAAGTGGTCTTGAATTTGCACATGCTTCCACCTGATACAATAATGTGGACAATTCTTCAAATGTTAGCGCAGTTTTTCCGATTGTTTTTATTAAATGAGTCTTTGCAACTTTCACACCAGCCTCGGCGAGGCCATTGAAATGAGGCGCACCAGCGGGTGAGAAATGCCAAGAAATGCCTTGCTTTGAAAGTTCATCGCAGATTGTTTTGAACTCTTCTTTTTCGATTTCAAATAAATCACTTAGATCTTTATTAGCTTTTACAAAGTTTGTGCCATTGTCACTGTTGAAGCTCTTGATCATTCCACGACGCGCTACCAATCTGCGAACGGCAGCTATGAACGCGTCGGCTGTTAAATCTGATACTAGTTCGATATGAAGTGCCTTTGTAGCCATACAGACAAATATTGAAATGTAAGCCTTAGAAATTTTACCAGCCCTACCTTTTGCCGTTTTGTATGGAATTGCACCGGTGTAGTCTACTGCTACGTTGGTGAATGGCTTTTCAACAATGTTTACGCGATTGGCCGGCAAATCTGCCATTAATTGTGACATGGTTTTTTGTCTTTGTTTGAAGCAAGGAATGCAACGATGCAAAATTTTCTTTATTTCTGTTTGTGCATTCACAATCCAAAACTGCTGTTTGATGATTGCTTCAGTGGCTTTTGCTCCACCGTGCATGCATAATAAATGAAAATGACGAATTATTAAAGTTGTTACGCTATTGTTTTTTGGTATTAAGATTTGATGTTTTCGTCCAAACACCAAATCCGAATTTCGTAGTCTGCCACCTACGCGCAGAATGTTATTTTCATCTAAGAATGGGCTTAGTTTCAGAATGTTACTTGAAAAATTTACTGATCTTTTCTTCATTAATTCACTTATTTCGGCACCAAATGCCTCCCGTTGAATGATTTTTATTATTGCTGTTTCCGCTAAATTTAGCTCATCAGCCGAAATCGGAGACAATGCTTTGGGCCCCTGTTTTGCTTTGCATAACGATGCAAAACGAAAACAGTATGCGATTATTCGTTTCATTTTGTTGAACGACGAGACTTCAGGAAGAATTTGTTCGTTTGAAATTGGAGAGATTTCTACACTTAATGCGAGTGATTCAATTATTGGGTCAATGTTATTTAAATGACTTGCATTGTTTGCATAGTAATTGTTTTCACGCAAAAACTGTGGGCCATTCCACCACATTTCATGTCTCAGCAATTCCGATGGCAACATGCCGCGTGAAGCGCAGTCTGCTGCATTTTTGTCAGTGGTAACATGATACCAGTTTTTTGTTCCAATTGCCTTATCTATTGCACAAACACGGTGTGCGATAAACTTTTTGTATCGCTTCGGATTTCCTCGAATCCAATCGATGACTATTTTTGAATCGGACCAAAGAAAAATTTTGCTGAAATTTATGTTTGTTGCTTTTAAAACGCCTTTCGTCAATTTGGCAAGTAAATTTGCTGCACACAATTCCAATCTCGGTATTGTGAGTGCGTCTTTCGTTGTTTTCAGAGGAGCTACTTTATTTTTTGCGATTAATAGTCGCACCGTGTTTTGCGTGACGTTTTTAATGTAAATCACAGCTGCGAATGCTGGTTCCGCTGCGTCACCGAAACCATGCAACTCCATGACATCCTCAGGATTGTAATTTATCCAACGTTCCACTCTGATGTCATTAATGAGATGCAATTCGCTTTTTATTTCCAACCATTTTTCAGCGATTTCTTTCGGTACAATTTCATCCCAATCGACGTTTTTCTCCCACAACTTTTGTACCAAAATTTTCGCTGAAATTACTACTGGACATATCCAGCCAAGTGGATCGAACATTGAAGAGATTTCAGATAGTAGCAATCTTTTTGTAAATGGATTTGAATGATTTTTTAAACTGAGTTCGTATGTGAAAACATCTTGAGACGGCGACCATTTTATGCCCAACGCTTTCACGTTGCTGCTTATAGCCTTCAATTCACGATCACTCTCCGGAATTGCGGACAGCACATTTACGTTGTTTGAAGACCATTTTCGTAAATTGAATCCGGCTTTGCTGAATACCTTGCGCAAGTCGCTACACAATTGTATTGCTTCTGCCTCAGTAAAAGCACCTTTTACCACATCGTCAACCCACATGTTTTTTCTTATGGTATTTGATACTTCTGGATATTCATTTTCGCAATCGATTGCAAGTTGTCTTGTAGTGCGATGTGATAAAAACGGAGCGAGACTGGTGCCGTATGTGACCTTGATAAGTCTAAATTCAGAAAGCGGTAGTTCAGGGGAATCACGCCAAATGATTTTTTGCAAGTCTCTTTGGCTTTCGTCGATTAAAATTTGGCGGTACATTTTCTCAATGTCAGCCGTAAATGCATATTTGTAAATGCGAAAATTGATTAGAATGCTTAACATGTCCTTTTGTTCTATGGCACCCAATGCAAGTTCATCATTGAGAGATTTTCCGTTGTCAGTTTTTTGAGAGCCATTGAACACTACCCGAAGTTTCGTAGTTGTGCTATCTCGTATTACACAATGATGTGGTAAATAATACGATGTGATATTTGGATTGTAAACTGATCGTTCCATATGACCTAGGTCAATATACTCGTGAATGAATTTTTTATATTCTTCTGCCAATTTAGGATTTTTTTTGAATCGATTTTCAAGCTGCAAAAATGTTGCAATGGCGCATTTTCGCGAGTTTCCTAAATCTGGTGCATTTTTTCCATTTTTGAATGGCATTTTGACACAATATCTTCCATTTTCCAAACAAATAGTGTTTTCTTGAAAGTGGTTTTCACACATTTGTTCTTCTTCAGTGAGAGCGCACTCGTCATCGTCGATTTTTATATCATCATGCTTGAAAAATTCAAATATACGTTGTTCGACGTCGACAACTGAAATGAGCGTTGTTACTTGTGCTCCCACGGCTGAATCAAAATTGGTTGGTCCCGAAATGATCCAACCCAATTCAGAGTTTTGGGCAATCGGTTCGTCTGTAGAACCTTTTATGAGACCTGGTTTTATGATTTGTGCGTATTCAGCTGCGCCGAGAAGAATGTCTATCGGACCAGCTTCAATGTATGAAGGATCAGCGAAATGAAGATTGTTCAAATGTGAGAATGATTTGTTAAAAACATTTTCATTTCGTGATAAATTTACCAAACTTTTTAATACAATTGCAGTTGTATTCAAAACAAAATTTGAAGTGAATCGAGGCGAAATGTGCAAGTCAACAATGTAATTGCACACCTGATTTTCTTTTGTTATTCCACTTACACAAGTTTTTTGTTTTATTCTTTTTAGTTTGAGCAATTGCATTGCTGATTCGGTGATGAACGCGCTCTGCGATCCTTGATCGATCAGAGCACGAAGTGCATATTTTTCGTTATTTTTACCTTTCACGCTAATTAATGCCGTAGCTAATAATACACGCGAATTCGATGCTGAAGAATTTGCTGATACTACTGAATTATCATTTTCGTGTTCATCGTTCGATGCTTGATAGTCCGAAATTTTCGCAACATTTGATTTAACTGAATCGAAATGCAGTAATGAATGATGTTTTTTGTTACACGTTTTACAAGTAAATTTACTTTTACATTCAATGACTTTGCTATGTGAACCAGATAAACAATTTGCACAAATGCCCTTAGATCTTATAAATTGACTTCGTTCGTTCACGCTTTTTGCCAAAAATTTCTGACATACGCGAAGGCTGTGAGCCTCGTCACATAATAGACACTTCGCGATTTTTTCAAATTTTTCGAATTTTTCAATCACTTTTTCTTTTTTATCTTTTTTGTTGGAAAAATTTTGAGTGTAATTTTTTTGTTCAACAGATTGAATGGCCAAATACCTGTTTTCTAAATATGCCAGAAATTCTTGCAAATTCGGAGTTTCGCGAACGTTGCGTAGTTGACACTCGTAGTGTTTTACCGTATCGTCGTGTAACTTTTTCGTTAAAATATGACAAATTAGTGCATCCCATGTTTCGGTGTTGATGCCCAAGTTTTTTATTGCTAACATTGTTTCGGTGCAAATATCGTGCATAGTGCGAAGCTCGTGGCTGTTTTCACTTTTATGTCTTGGTAATTGCAAGAACTTATCTATATACTCACCGAACTGTTGTCGTTTGTTATCATAGCGTTTGTATAGTACCTGCAAGCACGCCTCGTACTGATCAGCCGTTGTTAAATCCGCTACCAATCTTGCAGCTTGCCCCTTGAGATTCGCTTTCAAATTTCTCCGCTTTCGTTGTTTGGCTCGTTGTTTGGAACTTCATTAGTTGCAGATGATTGAGCGTTGGACTGATTATTGTTATTTCCATTTTCGATGCTACTGATTTCTGATGCTGTCGAATTTGCGCCATCGCATTTATCGTCGATAAAGTCTTTTAACGTTGCGTCCAAAATATTGCTCAATGCTTCATCTTCCGTATCTGAATCGCTGTTGTCTTCATCGTCGTTGGGTTCGTTCGGATTTGGTGGCATTGCAAATCCTTGTGGAGCGACTTTTACTAAACCTTCTTGCAATTCATTGCGATGTTTCAAGTACAACTCCCTGCTCGAATCGAATAAGTTTTCTCTGAAGTATGGTTGATTTGCGTCTGGTTGGGCCATCAGAGATTGATGGCGCGCTTCAAATGCTATCCACCATGTGTCTAGGCGGTTGATGCGACGTGAGAAGTAAGCTGGAACAGCCTTCCTGTCGTTGCCGTCTTTGGTGTAGTTGGTGATAGTTTTCTGCAATTGTCGAATTGCGTCGCGTTGAGCTTTAATTAGTGCCTGCATTTTGATCGAAGATCGTATACTGCTTGCGTTTTGTTAGTTGATAACACTGCACTAATAAAACTTGAAGAATATTTCACTTGTTGAAAAAAGTTGGACTTTTTCACTTTGTTGAAATTGTTGAAATTGAAGATTTTCGGT